ATTCTTAGGGTATAGAGAGAATAAGAATCTGAACACCTATATCATCCCAGACTGGGATATACCTGGGAGAATTATCCCAGACTCTGGGATATATATACCTGGGAGACTCATCCAGCCTATCATTCTTGCTGGGAGTGACTTCGTCGTGGTGGCTTTGAACGTGTTAAAGGGGTTGAGCTACGTGGGAGGTGGGGGGGGGGCACGTAACAGTGCAGTGAGTGGGAGATAGATCACTCATCAGCCGCCACGTGGGACGGACGGATGCTTCACCCATGGCAAAGGCTCCCAGGGTAGTCCGAATGGTGGGTTTATTTTTTATTTCATATGAATCGGGGTTGGGTTATCTTGCAGTGTTATCGCTCCCAGGTCTCACTCCCAGGCCGCACTCCCAGGTCACACTCCCAGGCCACACTCCCAGGCCACACTCCCAGGCCACACTCCCAGGTCTCACTCCCAGGCCACACTCCCAGGCCACACTCCCAGGCCACACTCCCAGGCCACACTCCCAGGCCACACTCCCAGGCCACACTCCCAGGTCTCACTCCCAGGTCACACTCCCAGGCCACACTCCCAGGCCACACTCCCAGGTCTCACTCCCAGGTCTCACTCCCAGGTCACACTCCCAGGCCACACTCCCAGGCCACACTCCCAGGCCACACTCCCAGGCCACACTCCCAGGTCTCACTCCCAGGCCACACTCCCAGGCCACACTCCCAGGCCACACTCCCAGGCCACACTCCCAGGCCACACTCCCAGGTCTCACTCCCAGGTCACACTCCCAGGCCACACTCCCAGGCCACACTCCCAGGCCACACTCCCAGGTCTCACTCCCAGGTCACACTCCCAGGCCACACTCCCAGGCCACACTCCCAGGCCACACTCCCAGGCCACACTCCCAGGTCACACTCCCAGGCCACACTCCCAGGCCACACTCCCAGGCCACACTCCCAGGCCACACTCCCAGGTCTCACTCCCAGGTCACACTCCCAGGCCACACTCCCAGGCCACACTCCCAGGCCACACTCCCAGGTCTCACTCCCAGGTCACACTCCCAGGCCACACTCCCAGGTCACACTCCCAGGCCACACTCCCAGGCCACACTCCCAGGCCACACTCCCAGGTCACACTCCCAGGCCACACTCCCAGGCCACACTCCCAGGTCACACTCCCAGGCCACACTCCCAGGCCACACTCCCAGGCCACACTCCCAGGCCACACTCCCAGGTCTCACTCCCAGGTCACACTCCCAGGCCACACTCCCAGGCCACACTCCCAGGCCACACTCCCAGGCCACACTCCCAGGTCTCACTCCCAGGTCACACTCCCAGGCCACACTCCCAGGTCACACTCCCAGGCCACACTCCCAGGCCACACTCCCAGGCCACACTCCCAGGTCACACTCCCAGGCCACACTCCCAGGCCACACTCCCAGGTCACACTCCCAGGCCACACTCCCAGGCCACACTCCCAGGCCACACTCCCAGGTCACACTCCCACATGGAGCCTCCACTCTATGGGATGTTTTGGTCGCGTTATTTGTTAAGTCTTTTAACGACAATGTCTCGTTACCAGCGAGAAACGAGACAAGATTAAGGATCTTCCTTAATTGAACATCATTTCTATCTGACACTATTGCAAGCTTGGTATACAGGTGTATGCATGGATGTTTGGTGTATACTCAATGGTTACTACGTATAAGGAATATATTTTGTTCCTACCGCGTAGCGATACGGCAT